GAAGAAGAGAAGCGCACGCGGTGCTGACTGAAGCGTACGCTCGTTTGTTATTATTTTTTCACCTTAGACACGTTTCGTTCGGCATCGCACGTGGTCGTGTTTACTTATCATTATTGTTGCATGTACTCTTAAGTATATTGGTTACGGTAATAATTCATTTCATTCGCAACTCGAAATAATATCACGTCAAATTGTGTTGAGTTTGGATAATTTTTAACTGTGTGAATTCGGACGGTGAACATTTTATGAGTGAAGTTCGCGTTTTTTAGTTTTTACAAGAAGGCCACGTTCCGGTCCAACTCTGAATTTTTGCCGTTGTAATGTCACTTTTTGTGGCCAACCGTTATTTATTCTGATGAAATTATGGACTGCATGCCGACGGGTATCAAACCGAAAATATTTCCAAAATGTTAGTAATTGTTTTGTTTTTTACTAAATTTTAAGTACATGGAATCGGACAAACTAACAATGTTTCGCTCTTTTCTCGTACATGCTCAATTATAATTAAGACTACTGACAACTTTATTATCGCAAAATGTTCCGACAATTATTGCACTACTAATAAGCGAAAGTGCATAAAATATAAATTAATAGAAGTGTTCGTTATGTTATGTGTATAAATAGTAGTTTATTTAATAATAATTTACATTGAATGATATTATTACTCAAAATAAATAAATATATTTCTAAGGATTAATTGGAAAAAAAGTATAACGCAGCAAAATTCATAAAAAAAAAATATCATTTTTAACCAGCACACTGATTTTTCTTTTATGAATGAATTTTTATTATTATTTTAAAATATAATGTTATTTCTTCATGATTAACAAAAACGGTTCATTCATAATATTAATATACATTAACATAAATAATTTATGCAACTCTTAAGTATTTTTTTTAGCTCTATTACAAAAAAAAAAAATTAAAAACTAGTTATGTATTTTAATAAATTAGAATAACACATATTGTTTTTATTTTTAATGTTACTCAAACATTTTAGATTACTTAAAATATTTTGGGTGTTTTTTAGCTATAAGTTTTAGTTTTATGTCATTTTAAGTGATGTTATTCTTTCATTAACCAGACCTTAATTAAATTATCACTTTAATTAATCTAAACACTTAAAATTCAATGTTAAAAAAAATTTTTATGATTGAAATTTATCAATTTCAAATATATAAATTATTTCTATCATAATTTCTATTTTTTAATTTTTTTAGTTTTTATATTATCTTATTATTAAAAGTGTAATTTTAAATATGGAACCATAGAAAATATATTTAAAAACGAATTAATTAATTATAAACATCTGACATTTCATTTCTACGAAAGTTTCTTGAACAATTGTTTATTTCTGTTAAACAGTGTAAAATACATATTAGTACTTTTTTCTTATTATAAATCAGTCTTAATGTAAAATAATAATTTTACAATAGAACTAGAATATTTTAATAATAGTATAAATATACTAGTGTACATTCTACTTATATATCATTGTTTGCCTTCAATGTATGTCTGAAGAATCTTTACTTACTTAAGTGATGTATTTTATCATCAGTCAATAATGTTAAAAGTTTATGAAAATTTTTTTAAAGATCATTTTATATATTCTTTTCATTTTATGGTTAATCTATTTTAATTTTAATACCTTAAAACAAAACATAATGTAAATATCCGTGACAGTTACCTATTTAGAGGTAAACCGAGTAGGCTGCAGTATAGGGAGCCTTTATTTTTAAGAGGCAGCATTTAAATTTTTTAATACAACTTTCATAAATTAGCAGTTTGGAGGGGTATAAAAATTAAGAATCTAAATAAACGTCTTTGATCTGTGGTTCAGTAAGACATCCTATAATTATAATACTATCGCATATTCTAAACAGAAAAATTTCCTATTATCCACTTCATTCCATTTTGATGTAATTTTAGTATTTATTAGCATGCAGTATAAATCCGTAAAAATATTGAACGTTTTAATTCAAAGTTAAAAAAAAAACTAAAATATAGAGTGTACAGTAAGGAAACGGGTCTCTACTGTTCTCATTGTTTGTATCAATTGATCTGTTTGAACGCCCTCTATATTTACTTGTTTCATAATATTTAATAGATAAAAAGACATGAAAAATGTTAAATCAACTCTCTTTCTCATATTAATGAATGATTTTAATTTATACAGGGTCTTCAGTAAATAAGGAAACAGGTCAATTGTTACAAAAAATGAGAACAATAAAAACCCGTTTCCTTATTTACTGAACATTCTATATATTACAATAAAAATATCGAGTAAATTAAATATAAACATGTTTATATTTTTTCATTTTTGTATAGAAATTTTTCTTTTTCCTGTGTCAATGTTGTAAATAATTACTTGGTAACCATCAAACAATCAATTGACAATATAATGAAAGCTGATAAGTAATATTAACTGTTTTTAACTAAAACTGTCGGATATATTGATGAATTGAAGGTCACATTATTAGTGAATAATGTTATAGTTTTATAAACCTATAATGATGAGACTTTTAAAAGTCACCTATACGGGCTCATTATTTTCCTTGTATTGTATACTCTAGATGTTAATTTTCTTTTATCCTTGACCTTATCGGTATTTTTCTTAATTACCTACTTGATGGATCCATCGGATCAAAAGTTTATTTGATTGTGTTTGACTATGTAAAGACTGTAAAAATCCGTTATACTTATCGTGTGTAATCAATGTACCCACAAACTAAAACTGAGTCACGTTTGATGATATATTATGTATAAATTCCTTAACGTGATTATGTGTTGTACCCACACAAAAATACAGCGCATCTCGGTGCAATAACTCGATTACCAAATCGTAATACTATCATTGAATATTATAAACTTAATCCTGGGTTCATTATTTCTTCTTTTATGACCTAGTTTTATATACCATACTTGACCTAATCTATTCGAGATGATGTTAAGTTTTTTTTCAGGATTATTCCTCATTATCATCAGCGTCTAGTGACATGTCGTCGTCTTACGTATGGGTCAAAGTGGTCCAGTAGCATCATAAGTTCAACATCTACTTAGACGTTATCATGTATTAGCTTACAAATGATGGTTTTATGGAACTAATCGAATTTTCATGTTATAAACAGTTTTAATAATTCAAGTATTTTATCATATAGATTTTTAATAAAAAGTACTAAAAAAATTGTTTGTAAATATAAAATTCTAATCTTCAATAAAACTGATGTTTTCTGACATTTTGCGTCTATATATACATAATTTACTATCTGTCATAGCTTGATTTCAATATATCTAATTGAATATTTGTATATTGAATGAGTTATAGTTATAGATGCAACTGGGAGAAAGGGATTTAAACAAAGATTTAGTTCTTCCAATAATTTAGAAAATTATGTATAAAAAAATTTTAGGATAAGAAAAAATGTATTTATTATTCTTAAAAATTCTATTATAGATACATCTATGCATTTATATATTCTACTAATTTTGATAATGACAATGTAGTGGTAAATTATGTTGTTTGCATTGTTATAAAAGATTTGTAGGTTTCAAACAGAGTAAACTGTGATAAAAGTCTAAACGGGGTCTTTTATTAATTTATGAAATTTTATAGCTACATATGTAACATAGCTGTAGATAAATTTTGGACCATTTTTATATATTTTTCTAAACGTTCCAAAATTTTAAGCTTTAATTGAATACATTATATAAATTATACATTTTTTACATTCTTTTATGTTATATTGTAAGAAATAATTAAATCGCAGGTTTATTCGTTTACTACAATTGACCAGTTCAGTATATTTCATTTAAATAAACAAAATTAAACGTTAACCTGATATAATCTTCTGAATAAAAAATGTATCACATTTATCATGATTGAAAAACTATTTGCTATAGTTGAATGATGCTCGTGATAAGTTAACAAGTTGTTAATCTTATTTACGTAAATTAGAAAAACATTTTAATTTGATTATTTAAGTGTTACATTTTTGATAATGTAACGAAAGAAAACTTGCATTTTATTAATTTTAATTCTGGTAGATTTATTTCAATATTTCAATTGATTTAATTGGACCTTTTTGTCAAATTCTCCGAATGACTTTATATATTTTTCACAATTATAATCGTCAGTTTAGTCTGTACAATCATTATAATTTTTTATGCAAGTCTGATAAGGATAGTAATTTTTTTCAAAAATGCACATTGTCCAAATGTCGAACTTTTTTTGTTTTTGGTCAGTTGAAAGAGAAAGGTTTTCTTGAATAAACCTGAATAGTTAGAGGAAACCCGCGGGCGTGCACACTCCTCCCAACGAGTCTCTGTGCAACGGGTTCTGCAGTAGACGGACCGGCGCGACTCTGACGATCATGCAGACTCACTCCGGACCAAATCCAGTGAAAGTGCTGTGACCGTCAGTTGGGTGGACATGGGCGACTTCGAACGTGACCGACGACATACTCACAGACATGATCAGGAGAACAACGCGACTATTACTTATTATCAGATTGTCTCGTTTTTAATGCTATTGAACCTACACGGTGTGTGGGATTATGAACGGATGACATGGAAAATATGACATGCGACATTAGTAGCTTCCGTGTATAAAAGTCAAAACACTTGAATTTTGATACATAGTTTGACATGTTGATAAAGTATTAATGCATAATTATGGTGCTATAAGTGTCAGCTACTCGTGATCGTTATAGATCATTGATATTTTCTAGAGAATATAAATAATACTTATTCTTTAGTATAACATAATGTGTGACCAATATATAGTATAATCCTATAATATATTGCCGTGTACGTTTGATACTTGTACATTAAATATATATATAATTTTTTTTTATATACAAATACTTATCAAAGAACAATATTTTATCACATTCATTTAAAAAAGATGTGGTAATTTGGTAGCTAAATATCTAATATATAAACAATTATTTTAAATAATTATAATTAAAAATTATTACATTTATTATTATTATATTTTACAGGCAGCTTATTCAGTAACAGTTTCTGGGATCGTTACAATGAATATCAGGATGTTCACCGACACGCTAAAGAGTGAGTAATAAGTATCAAAAACACAATGTTCCTTGTTTATAATCGTATTAATAACATAAATGTATTTATATTTTGTGGATTGACTAAAACAAATACGGCTGCGGTATGTTTAGGAAGTGTAGGTGTACAAAGCGGATTGTTTGGAGTTTTTTCTTAAACCGCAACCAACGACGTTTTCAACATCGTTGGCATTCATCAATATTGAAACATAGAATTCTATTTTAACTGTCGATTTCATTTATTTTATTACTTAAAACACATTTAACGTATATCTACTATTTTAAACTGGGATTTGTTTTAATTCAATTTTGAAAATATTTAATCCGTCAACTCAAATAAACTACAAAAAAAAAGTATTATTTTGCAAATTAATTTTAATTATTTAGTTTTGAATGAATGAAACTAGTAACGATTTTACTTTATGCGCATATATTTTAGATTGTTTTCACATAAAACTTTCAGAATGTGATAACACTGAACATTCATCAGCCTATTACCTCACCTGTTACTATAAATATTTACTATTAACTGCTTCAAGCTTAACTACTGACTAAAGTATTTTATAGTGTATTAGAGCAGTCCGTAAAACGCTTTCATGGAAAACACATAGAATAGTTATTTACTTCATAATATAATCTACTTTTTTATATTAACCGTCAACAACCAGTTTATGGTTGAGAACTGTTGAAAATTTAATGTTCTGGTTTTATTAGAAAATATAATATGCAATGAACGCATAATATATAATGTATCGTGATAAATAGTGATATTCGTAATAAACGCCTCTAGTAATACATACACATAGTTCTATGGAAGTGTTTTGAAAGCTTTGAAAACAGTTGTTGGAAACTAATAAAAACAAAAATCAATTTTACTTGAAACAAAGATGCATTCATCCTTCTCGTTGCAGATATTTCTTTCATGCATCATTGTACTCACATTATATTAGTCATTAACCTTTTCCTCGACCTCGTGTATAAGAGGAGCTTAATTAAACACTAAGTAATGTTTTTAGAAAATTGACTTGTATTTAAAGCTAATGAAATATTATTACATACGAAGTATTTATGTGCAATTAAATGACTAGTCATAGTTTCAATGTAATTATTAGGTAAACATTTTCTACCCTATCTATTTTTACTACGATGACTATAAAATATTAATGTTTCTACTGTTGAATGCTTAAAGGAAATATTCAACTAACTTTAAGTATTCAAATATATGAGCTAGACTCGTGCTAAATAGCCTATAGAAATTTATATGATATTAAAAATAAAATTTCGCAATAGTCTACAAAAAAAAAAAAAACGGTTATCCAAATATAGGTGCTCTGTGGAATACTTGGCTGTCACCGCTTACTGAGAATCCATTAATTAGCACTGTTGAGTAATCTTGACCCTGGCCTCTTGGGTATGTATGGGTTCATTCCTAATCGGCTTACAATCACTATGATAATTATTATACAATGAAACGAGTCTGATCGACGATCCACCCTCTTTTTTGACACCGTTTGGAGTTTCGTATGTAACAATTAATCGACTTTTTACTAATGAAAGCAGGCACACCTGATATTCTTCTTTATCATTTAATGTTCAATCAGTTTGCTCAATATTAAGTAACAAAAATTATTATTCCCAATCATCATATCTATTTTATCATTATTTATTACTTTCAAAAGATACATTTTGATTATGCGGGTTATAATAACATAACTTATAACTATATACTGTATAATCTTTAACTACTTATTGTTATTATTTTTAAATTTTCTTATGTGTTTGATTATGTTATTGTTTAATTAAAAGATTCTGTTATTTTGTTATTGTATTTATTACAAACATTTTTTAACTTAAATTCGTCATTTAAGCAATAAATAACATATTAATTGAACTATCATCATTAGCTATATATTATAAGGTAGATTATCTATCTAACTGCTACTCAGTATGCAGGACAGAATAAATAAACAGATTTCCATTGCTATGATTATTTTAAGTTCATATAACTTTATGTATGATATTCTCAACATACATAAGATTAAATAATGTTATTAATGTCTAGATATTTCTAAATAATTAAATAAAAAAAAACAAAATTGAAAAATAATAAGTTATTGTAGTACTGGTATGTTTAACATAAATACGATATTTTTTATTAAATATTTAATCATTCATGCCTAAAATGTACATTGTTTATTCTATAATAGCAACTCAATATAAAAATTTACCTTTATTTTAAGTAATTTTTTTATAACTGGTACAGGACGTAAAGCCTTGATGGTTTATTTTATTAGTAAAGTATGGCCAATAATATTGACATCATTTGAACATTATTTGTACAACGTTTATTTTGCTTCTTATATGTGAGAGTATATTTGCAATATACATTAAATTCTGTAGTCGTGTTGTTATCGACACAATATAGATGTCTTCTCCACAATCGCAATCGAAGGTCAACCATATGTTCTACAATTCATTAACTTGTAAAGTCTTAGTATTACTTATGTATATAAATTTCTAGTTTGTAGGCGTTTTTTTTTAAATTATTGTCAATATTGCAATATGTACTCTTTTAACAATTAAACACGTATACATAAAAATATGCTCAACTGTTATTATTTTTTATGATAAAATCACATCTTTATTAAAAATGTATACTTTTACCAATATTTAATAGATGTATTTTGACTCGAAGATTACAAACTTTTACGAATTTTTATAACTAATAATTTCAAATTAATCATGAAAGAAACAAAAATTTCTATAACATAATTTTTATCATGTATAATTAATCATATTAATTATACTGATATTTATATTATATTATTTAACAGAATTTATATGGAATATAATTTTATTATATTTGTCTTTGCCTATAAAAACTTTTTTAAAATCATAGATCATTATACCTAACTTAAGATAACATTCCGTGAAAAATGTACCATCGCAGCGTTTTTAATATTCTCGTGAATATTTTAAAAATAATAATTGCTTAAATTTTACATTAATTGTGTACATGATATTAAGTTTGTAGAATAATGCATTTACGTACGACTAAATTTAGTGTTCAACGGTAGAGCAAGTGTAAACAATACAATTTTAATCATATAAAATTAATTTTGCTTTGTGATAGAAAAGTTTTAATTTGTCAGTGATTTTGTGATAATAGAGTTTTTTACAGTATGTTTTAAATTAATAATTATTAATTATTTTGAACGTAACAATTAAATTTCAATTAATTTAACACATGTAATATTTCCAAAATTATGTAGGTCATGGACACTAATTTTATTTTAACCGCCTTCTTTAATGACTGTTCATTTTTAATTATAGTGTGTTAAGTGTAATTTCTCAAGAAAATAATAACTTATAACTGAAATCAATTAAAATTGTTTATTTCGTTAAAATGTAATAAAAAATATAACTTAATTGATTAAAATTATATAGAAGATTTCGTTTAATAACATTTTCAAAAGTTATATTTAAACTGTTAATTAAAATATAATATATTGTTATACTGCCTTATATTTATGAGAGAAATGACAGTAAAATGTTTTAATTATTATTATTTTTAAGATTAATACGAGAAAAGACTTCGCTGGACGAAGATTTCGTTGCTTTTTGCGTTCAAAGAAAGAGGGCTGCGAAAAATTCTTTACGTGACATCCTAGACTTACCGGTAAGTAAAATTTAATTATTAATAGCTATACAAATTACATAATAATTATAAGAACTAAACAAAGTAAAAGTCAAATGTATTTTACATTTTTTTTTTAATTAAACAAGTAAAAATGCAAGAGGTGAATTGCACTTTAATCATAAATCTTTAATGGTTGATGATGCCACGTTTGAGTAATTATTTGTTAATTAAATTTCTTTTCGATATATCTTCATATATGCACACACCTATGACGTGTTGATGAAATTATACGACTTAGAATACGTTGTGTAACTATCAATGGAAGTATTTATAACGTCGGCTACCGACAAACGAGTCTAGAGAGCCTTACGACACGTCTTCTCATCCGAACGTCCGAGTCAATAGAGTTTCGAGCACATCAAATATCTTATAAATATTTTAAATAGCCAATGATTGAGCACTTCAAGTAAATATAATTATTGACCAACCTACTTCGAATTTCCCATAAGCAATTGTATTAGGCGAAGTATATTTGATTTGAACGAGTATTTAACGTAAACTGAAATTGATAAAAAAAAGTATTAATAATATGTAGTGAGGATTAATAAAATGTATCTGAATCAATTAACATTTTGTTTTTCCGATTGAAATACTTGATCAATTTCTAAATAACGAAAATTGTTCATACTTATAATATCAAAAACTGTATTACTACTAAAAGCAATGTATTTAAGTATACTTATACAAGTATACTTAAATAATTAATTCAAGTAATTTTTTATATTAATTTATTTTTGTTATAAACAATTTTAATTCTTTAATTGACAAAAGTTATTTTTATGGTTACTTTCTCACTGTTTTATTAATAATATTATTTTACCTTGTGTTAAAATGTATGTAAATTATTGATATGTTTTAATTGAATTTTTTTATTCCCAAGTGCAATCACGTGTGCACTTATATTAGTCACTTTAAAATTAAAATCGTATAAAAATGACTGTTGATGTTGCATATATAAATATATATTACATCTTTTTCTTAGTAATACAAATTATATAGAAATCCATTATTTTTCTGGAAAGGAGTGAGACATGCTTTGAACAAAGACGCAGTACTTATCGCCTTAACATAAAATTTACATTTACTTAATTTATTGAATTTTTATGCATTATTAAAGTGTTAGTGAACAAATGTTCTTCTTGTTAAACAGGTAGATATTCTAAGAAAATTTGTTTACCCAAGACCTTTCATTAAATTTCATAACTTAATAATTGTATTATAAAACTTTTAAGTAACTTAACTCTAATTGAAAATTAATTCATGTATTAATGGTCTTAATATTCTTTCGGTTATATGAAAACATATTTTATATTTTTAATACTTAAAGTCATTATTATGGAATAATATAATTGCATGCAAACTAACTGTAAATTCAACTAAATAATTCGTTTATATATGAACTGTTAATAATAGACAAATATTTTTGATTTTTTAGAATTTACGTTTATAAAAAAGAAAAAATACAATGTGATTAAATTAGTACGTTTCTCGCAATATATACATAAATATATATATATATATTCTTAGCATATTCTGTTGTTTAATGTTTAAATTGTTTATATAACATTTTTTCCATCAAAGAATGAACTTAAATAGTTTGCATCAAGTTAATCTACGTATAATATTTACCTTCAAATTTCTAATATCACATGATATAAATTACTACTGAGTAGAACGGTAATGAAGTATAGCACATGTATGGTATTTGAGTTGCATATATGCGTTCCGATTAAGGCGTTCAAAAAATCTATAATTATCATACAAATTAATACCGATACATTTTTGAAGGTCAAAATCTGAATATCTTTAAAATAATGCATTGCTCTATTCTCATAAATTAGTATGTCGATCCAAAAATTTGTTGTGTTTTTTTAAACAATTTTTTTGTTACTTACTGTAGTCTGTGGACGAGTAAACTCTTATTTTTTAATAAAACATATTTCAGTTTCCTTGTTATGTTATATAAATTATAACTTATAATAAGTATACAGTTTTAATTGTTTGTCTGTTAATATGAAACCATTGAATTAAATATTATAATTAGTGCTTAAATTTTTTCAGTTTAATTGATGTTTTGTAAGGTATTCGAATAGTTTTACATTTACATTATAGTAATCATGTATAAATTCATTAATCAAATTTTGCCTAATGAAAATTTTATAATATTTTATTTTTTGTGTACTAATGCAAATGGATTTGTAAAAATTAGTGATGTGTTCAAAATAGTGGTGTTCCGAAGATAATATATTTAAAACACTTTTATGTCTCAAACATTTTCAGTAGAAATAACTTTAAAAAATAATAAATAAATAGCCAAATACTTCCAGGATGTTCTCTTGAAAATTTGACGATTTCCCCTTAAATATGCTACTGTTAATATTTGGATCATCTAATTTATATTTTAAATGGATATTAGGAAATATTATTAATAGGCATAATATGTGATCGAGTTAAATTTACAATCTTTTATTGCTCAAATTCTTTTATAACTTCAATAAGACTTTACGCAATCATTTGTTGCTAAATATCTCGAAAATTAGAATAAAAACAATTTTTTTTTATGAAATATTTACTGAATGTCACGTTACAAGTCTGGATGGTTAAAAATGCACATATCTAAATAGCGATATTGTACATTTTTTTTAAAATTCTTATTGTAACGAATGTCTGTAATGTCAAGTATTGAACGATTTTTGGCACAAACTTAAATACTTAGTATGTAAGTTATCTGTTTGTCCCAAATGGAGAACAAACACGTCGCATTGTCTACTGACTGAAACAATGTAACTTGTATTGAATATTGTTGACTTCGGAAGACCAAAGAAACAATAAGAACACAAAATGATTTACAACTGGTACACAACGGGTACGTAATGGGTTTTTGGAGGCACTACCGACAGATACACTTAACATCGATATATATAATAATAAATTTTAAAGAGTATAAGTAGTGAATACCGTTAGCAACACAGCCGCCTACACGTGACCTATTGGGGGCAAAACACACGCTCCAGTAGAATTGCGTGACAGGTCTAATACGCATATTTTTATCTTGGCACCTCTGCACGTGTGATCGCGATTGTCGCAACTGTTGCGTCCGGGTCGAATGTGGACGGTTTTTGTAGTTGTTTTATTTGTCTGTTTTTTGGTGGGAATTTTTTTTTTTTCATACTATGCTCTTTACAAAGATTGAAGTTTGGTTAGCGTAATACACACGGGCGATTATCTCAGTAACACAGCAAACGGGGGAAAAAATAATTTTGATTTCCTAGTGTGTGTATATTTTTCATAGTGTGTCATAGCTATTCGAACGACCGTGTGGGATTAGTTTTTTCTGCTACCGCTAAAACGATTTGCATGTAACGTATTTTTGTGTGTACGTTTTCTTCGATATTATAAATTAGCCAATTATGTAAATGCATTTATACTATTGGAAAAAACTTGTTACCGTATTAATCACTAGACAACTGTACGCTAAAAAAAATGCTAATTTTCTCGTACAGCAACCATGGATAATGATATTCATGCGAAAATGTTTGCATGTGTGTTGTCCAGAGTTTCTATTGGAGGTATTTGTGTAATCGAATACAAATATTGGTAATATTAGTAAAAGTGTAATCAACGGATTGAGTATATAATTCGCTGAAATTATATTACTAAATTTATTTGTACCGGATACTCAACAAACGAATTTTATCTTGAAATTTTAAACCAAAACAACGTACATCTATTTAAATTTTTTCAGTTTGGACTACGTCATAGAAACACTCTGGTAAAAGTAATTGAATGATGTTTACTTCCAATTATTATTTTTCCAGTCGCATGCCTCTGAGGTATTTCTAACACGAGTTCGCCTATTCCTCCGGTGTAACTTGGCTATTATAGGTCATATGACTGAGGTGCGTTTACAATGTTTCATGTGTGCCAAATGTCATTTACAAATGGAACACGCACATTATCTCAATCGTAGTAATGATCAGAAAAAATTAAAGAGTATTTGTTTGCGCGTGTCCGTGTGCGCATTTGCCGGACGTGGATAGATATCACATTTGTCCATCGTGAAATATAAATCTGATAGTAGTGCAATAGGTATTTATGAGAAGTACTGATGTACATTTTGCACCGCACACGACACCTCGGGTATTGGACGGTGGAAAAATTGATTAATCGCCGACTGACGGCACATTGTTGTACATACTACTTCTTGTTTTCTTGTGTACATTTTTTTATGACTTCTATAAGTGAACGTGTTTGTGCGCCTATACTCGATTATAAACTGGCGAAGCCGTCACGAACTCTATGCCAGAGCAGCACCATACTCGATCTTGCCCTTGTTTTTATTATTTACGACATGAAAGACCCAATTGTTGGCCTCGCACATGATATTGTTAACCGTGTAACTTAACACTCACTTTGATGACCAATTTCATGCCGATGCTTGTAATATATCGTAAATCATTGCGGCGGTTATTGGCACTCAAAGTTTATGTCAAAAAATGTAAATTTTTAAAAACAACAATATGTTTCATTCAATGTTTGCTCTAAAAAACGCGGTCGTTCCTTAGATGAGCACGTCAATCTCAACACATTATATATTTTCTATGAGAAAAAAAATAATAGAGTTTGAAAAATACAGTAGCGTTCAATTCGCGTGCCTATGGCGCAAATTATCTCGTGGCGGCGCTATAAAAGACGCAAACAATATCACGCAAAAAATGTTTAAAATACTGTGCGTACATTTTTTTAGTATATATACTGTGGCGTTTTTATTTTTAAAACTGGCGTGTTATGTATTATACTTTCTCCGAGTTCCTCGTAAATTCTCTTGTGCTTTTAAATAATTGTTTTTTATTGCGTTTTAAAACTCTACTATTACCGGTGAGTTTATGGTTTTTTTTTTCTATTAATTTTCTCTTACGACGAATCTTTTGTTTCACTCGAGAAATCTGAAATTCGAGATCATCTTCAATGAGTATGTC